CGTCACGAATATGAAGACGTGTTATGTAAATCCTATTAAAGTAGTAAATCAATTATGGAAGATTTTCATACACTGCTAAATCCGTAAACTTTGTGTTCGCATCAACCCCACGTTATAGATTTCATTACTTTGACAGTTTACGCTCTAGCCTATGTTATTATATAGTTAGTATGGTAGTGAGTGGTGACCTTTCGTTTCACGCCGGAAGGTCTTCTACTCCCAGTGCTGATTCTTTCTTAATCCGCTTAACGTGCGGCCTGCCACTGGAGGCTCACATCCCTTATCTTCAGTCGTTATTTTCGTTGTCTTTCTTTAGAATTTTTTCTTTTTGGTGTATTACTTTACCGGCCCTTCTTTTTTCGTTGTCACAATGGCACTTCTGATTTCGAAGATGACGACGCCGTTTTCGATGAGTGTACGCGTGTAGGCGTGTTCTGAAATACGCGATACGTGATAATGATATTTGTGTTCAGCTAGCTCTTATTTTGGCTCCCGGTACTATTCATTGGTGGTTGGTCCACTACTTACCGCAAAAAGAGCATCTAACGTACCAGCGTTCAAACATCAATTTTGGCACACACCGCATGTAGACAACTATAAAAGCCATGCGGCCACACAAACACTATCGACCAGTCATACGGAATAGGGACGGCGTTTCGTGGATCGTTATTGGCCCCTTCCAAGGTGATCGAGATTTTTCCGCCATAGAGCGTATGTCTTCTTTCGTTTGTTCGATAATTGGCAAACGAGTCCTGGAAATCACCGTCGTCTTTGCGGGGAGTACAAAATTGGTCCGAACAGACATCGACAAGGACCGGTACCGAAATATCATGAGCATTTGCGCGCAAAACGACGGCTGCTAAGTAGTGGAAATTAATATAAGTGTATTGGTTACTAACGATTCGACTGAACGGACGACTGCGTTAAGCAAGAGCAAGCGAGTAAAAATTCGACGCGTGAGCTTTACCCATTTGCCGAAATAGTTTGCACCTATTCGATCTTGTTCGAGTAATACTAGTCTGGTATGGAGTACATATGGGTACCAGTTCGTATGCGCGCTATTTTGTCGGTAGAACTAACAGAATGATTCAGGCCGTGTTTGTGCGTCTCCTATCGGCCTATGTGGACGCATCGCGCACAGACGGAGAAACCAGAACGACGACTGAAAAGATCGGGAATATCATTCTCTGCTATAAAATGATTCAGACATCCATTGGCAAACGTTACCAAGTAAAACAGAGCTCGTAAGCATGAAAAATAATATAATAGTAGTAGTTTTGCTTGTAAGTGGCCCAACGTGCTATTGTACGTGCCTGCCTTCCTGCCTGTCTGACTGCCAAACGATCTGCCAGTCAGCTTGCTAACTCGGCTTTCTGGTCGCTACTTGACGTGTTTGTTTCTATTGAATCTGGCAGGGATCCACATTATTGGCACTAGTTCTAGTCGTACTGCTTCAGCAGGTGAGAGCTATTGGTAATGAGCGGCGATAGATCGCCTCGTAGTCGTTGATGTCTCAATCGCTCTACGGCCTCTGCTTCTCGAGTCTGTTTCGTCCAGTCCGCTAGTTGGCAATGGCTAGTCACTAGAACCGCCGTGCTAAATTCAGCAGCTTTCCCCTGGTCGGCTGTTGTTGTTGACGGCTCGACCCGATGATTGCCGCTCCTAGGTTTTGCGCTATTTTGGCTTTTGCTCATGGTGACGCTTTTAGCATCTGCCCTTGGCCTACGAGACCTTCGAACTGGATGGACGTCAATCCTCCTCGTCAATCCAGCCGATTGACGCTATGCTATAGGGGGCACGAACCGAGCGCCCCTCTGTCGTTTGTGGTTGACTCAAGAATTCTGTTTCGATTTCGCACATGCTGGCCATGTGTACCGTAACTAAATATCCGTGGTTGGGCACACGCGTTTCTCTAAAAGAGTCTCATCCATATTTTGCCCAGCGGTGCAATTGTTGGAGTCTGCAATGGGTGTAGCAGTGCACGCTAGATCACTGATATTATTTATTATGGACCCTGTGGTACTGAGCCTAGTAAACAGTATTTGATTAGCGTTATAACAGTATCGTAATAGCTGACAGTTTCAGTGAATCATTGGGGTAAATGTTCAGCACACCCAGTTATATATAGCGCAAGGTTTGATTTGCAAACAGTGATAACGTCTGACCTTTTCTGAGATACAAATAACGGTTGAGTTATTTATGAAATCAACGAACTATGCCAGATGCTTCGCTTGATACCTTGACTTAGTATGCGTCAAAGTCATGATTTTTTTCTACCTGACTTTAAGTACATACCATGTTTATTTTTGACAAACATCTAGCACGTTTTTTTTTATAGATAGCTCTATCAATCAGCACCACACCATTTGAGGCGTTTGGGCATCACTTCGATCAATGAAAAAAAAACTCGCTCTGGCTACCCACACAGATATCTGCGTATGCGCACAAAGGGTGATCATGATCATTGACAATGTTATCTTTCTAGCAAGGTCAGTGTTCGCACAGACAGAGGGTTTTTTTTTCCTACTTTTGTTGTTAGCATCAGCGTTGTTGGTTAACAGTTTCTTTTTAACACCTATATGGATCAGGAGAGTTTACAACCGGGTCGAATGCCCGAGCGGTTGTCGCCTTCTTATCGCAACACCGGCAGAATATTACTCTGCGTCCACCCCACACGCCACCCCACCGCAATCTTTACGTATGCGCACACCTAGATAATAGAATAGAATAGAATAGACCCTACCTATGAACGCAGCGACACCTAGTGATGGGAGTAGAAACGACAAAAGTACCGGTACTACGCGTTCGCGGTATGAGTACTTCCATGCACAAATAAACACACACACACACATATAGAGACATGTGTTATTGGGTCTTGAGTGAACAAATTGATGGAAGCAGCATGCCTGGGACACAAGCTAACCAAAACAACGAACCGGACAGCTGGCGTTGTCTGTCATAGCTGAAGCAATTTTTGCTTTTTTTGTCGATTGCTCATGCCTCTACCTCTGCGTACGCGATTTCTGACTTTGTTGGTCACTTGTGGGGGCACTATTTTGCACCACCTATCTATAATAACAGCATCAGTAGCGCCACCGCCACTACTTGTGATAATAACGATGACGATGACGATCACGAATTTCGACTGAATTCCTCATTGTTTGTCTGGTAAAAGGATGTAGGGGCAGGAAGGTCGGGGAAGGTGTGGGGATGGCGGTAGTGAAAGTGTCTGGATCTCCGCGTCAACGACTTCAAACTTCAGACTTCGAAACAGCGCTGGTCGTTTTCGTCGTTACAACGATAATATTGTGGCTGACCCAGGTGGGGCATGTCGAGGTTGCACGGAGTAGAGACAGGACAGTCTATTCAATCAGGACATTATTTGTTCATTCATTCATTGAAATTTATAAGAACAGAAAAGTTGATGAAAGTACATGAACGAGAACGTGCGGCATGAGGAGAACTACAAAGCAATCTATAGTCTGGAAGGACTTTGTACGAACTTTTTCTCGCTGTCAATAATGCACCATTTATAGAAACTTATGCAGAGCATGTACTGAGATATTTTTTGCGGCCGTTGCTACGATGGCAACGATTGTCGGTGTATCACCTAGGCGGTGTTAGGTAATGCTGACAGATACGCGATGAATTGACCCATCATCCCTCTAAACAACCAATGATTAATTTTCGTGAAACCTCAGAATTTCCTGTTCGCCCTTATACACGGACGGCACCCGTAAATTATGTATGTTTAAAAAGAATCTTCACAGAAAGCCAACTACTATAAAAAGTACACATACGCCGACAAAGTAATTTTCACAGAGTTACCTGTGGTCGCGATGGTCCTTCCTAGTTATTATGCCGTGATGCATGAAATATCAATTCAATTGATTTCAACTTGCCAAATACTACATCCATAGTAAACGAATAGCGCCATTTTATGAGGAGTGTTTTTGCGCGAATCTCAACCTTATATTAATGACTAGCAAGACTCATGACTGTTGATGATGATCAGAGTGATCGTCTGCGGTATAAAATATAAAACTACGAACTCAATTTTATTGAGAGACTGACGCCGGTTGCTACAGCAACATCAACATTATGTGTTATTGTTTCATTACGGCCAACCGCATTAATAATGATGTAACGGCAGCTCTTTGCCCCGGGGCAATGTACGCCAACTTCGTCGAACGATGAAGCTTGCGGTAATGCTGTAGAAGTAAACTGGGGAAAGCTACGTTCGTTCGCCCATTCGTTCATGGCACTTACGTAAAGTAGCGCCGTGGGCGACCGATTGCTCTGACTTAGATATATATATATGTATGTATGTATGTATGTATGTATCTGTATGTATATGTATGTATGCAGATCGCTGTATTCACAGCTTATGAAGATCTGTGCGAAGTAGCTGGATCAACGAGGCAGAAGCAGTACGAACTTGACAAATATTTGCACAAATCTCCCATGGCTCTTTCCACATCATCACAGTCACTGTCATCATTAGCATGATCGTGCCCAGTAAATTATTCGCAACGAAAAGTGAAAGCTGATTAAGAAACAGAAAAAAAACCGGGCTAGAATTGATCTGGCTTATGTACAAACGGCATTTCGAACTTTTTTTTTTTATTAATTTCTGATTAAACGCATTTTCTCTTAAATTGGCAGTTGTCATTGAAGTTGCCAATATTCCAGGTTGAATGATCTTTTCTGTTGTATGATCGATTTTCGAAACGAAAATTAGCTTTTGTTATTGTGGAGGCTGAAACTGATCACCGTCAAGGCCCTCTCTGAGCCCACTGATTGTAACACGTTTGGGATCGAGTTGACCGGATTCACAGTAACTAATATAATCCTAGACCTTCACGTCGTTGTTGCTACGTAAAGACGACGTGTTCCTTGAATAATAACACTTTGTATCCATACTAGTGTACACATACATTCGATATCTTATTTTTCCTCTAATATGGCTTATGTTTTCCATTGCTATGAAATAATTTCAGTTCTTCGTCATACTGTTCATGATCTTCATTATTCTACTCGTTGGAGGAATTCTCGGCTACGTCTTCCGAAACGAGGTTTGTCCAAATGGGGAAAATTAATTAAATAAAAATTTATTAGATCATTACTAGTTCATTCGCTTGTTAATCTGCTAGACACTAAAACGGTTGTCGAGCCTCGTTATGTTAAACGTTTGTACCATGTACGTTTGTTCTGTGCTTATAACGAAACCCTAGAAATGTATACGACGGAGTACTTTGCATAGGTTGTATGAACGTCTAACTTAACTGGGTAGAATGAGCCAACAGTTAGTAGTTTTTGTAGAAAAGTAACCAACGAAACTAACAAACCAAATGATTAGATAAGTTTTTTTTGCTAACATAGAAAGAATGAATCCACAAAATATCCCTTCCAGATAATATCGTTTATTAGACTGTAAGGAAAATTTTACCGCAAGTTGATATTGATGCTGTTTGTTATTCCTGTTCGACGCTGTAACTTCGTTTGTTTTAATTTACTTTTCCAAATAATGAACACCCCCTGTTAAAGGCACCTACCATTCCCCCTCCCCAGCTCTCTCGTCTTTAACGATCAGTCCAGTTTATCCAAAACGTTTGGTGCAATACTGTCCTATGATCATGGTCGTATTTTTTAAGTCCACGGAGATAGTCTTTTAGATTAGTAGTCACTGTATCCCAGAAAATGTTTGCCATACCTTTGTATAGTCGTCCGAGTCGCTTTGACCTTGATTCGCGGAAATTGTTTTGCTTAGCTCTACTGCAACAATACACTGTTTTCACTGATATCTGTCACAGTGGTAGAACGGCGGGTAAGTCGTCCCATCTATTAACGGCAAAGTTGTTGTTAAACGCTTCTAAAAATTCTTCTGAAGGAATTACTATTAAATTAATGACAGCAATTATCTTAAAGAAGCTCATGTCGAAGAAAAAACAAAAAAAAAAAAACAAATTTTCGTTAGGAAGAGTAGAGTTTGTAAGAATTAAATTGACCTATTACTATAAAAATTGAAAGAAAAATGCATTGGAATGATGGCCGTCGAACTTTGGCTCAGTTATATGGACTAGCTGAAATAGACCTTTCGCTATACTTTGCGCGAAATTACCCAAATATGTTTTACTTTGTACAAGTGTAAGGGGTGTGAGTGCAAAATCGATCATTTTTACCTGTTAGCATTAGGTGTATAAGCAAAAGATTCAGCTAATTTTCAACCAGTCCGCGATTTCTCAATTTAGAACGCGTAAAACTATGTTGGATTATACCGAACAACTCCTCTATTTAGGTAAAGTTGCTTCGAAATATAAATTTACCTTGCACTTAATTATAGGATGAACACTTTAGGCTGTAAGCGTACTATGAATAGGACAAGGCTAAACATCTTCTTTGAGCCTCACTAATACTGAAACAATTCGAAAAGTAACATTTTCAGCTGTTGTCTTTCTGTCGGCTTTAACTAGGTCGGCGAGCGAATGTATCAAGAGATGATTATGACAATTCCAGCATATGGAAATGACACCGACGTCACGGAGGCATGGGATGCCGTACAGCATCACGTATGTATTCTGACCTTATCTTATCGAAATATATATACATTGTCCAACAATAGCTCTAATAGAAATAAGACCTATTTTTCTAGGATATAATAGGAAGTTGTTTTAAATGTCACAAAAACGTCTAGCGCTTAAGAGCATCATTCGATTTATCTAATAATAGCTCAAGATGATTTTTTTAATAATTAGATTACCAATTGTTCAATTGTAGTTCGAATGTTGCGGAGTTCCCGGACCGACTCCCAATGAGAAGCCATACAAGATCTGGCTCCTGAATATCTATTTCAACGATAAGAAACAGGTAAAAACGTTCTTGGGGTTACGTTCCAATGACATTTGTCCTGCTTCGAAAACGCATAGATCAGGGGAATTGAATTAACTCTCTTCGCTATGTTTGGATAGGACATAATATTCTCAACAGCTATCAACTGCGACTGTATTATCATTACTTGTATTTCGAATGAAGACACAGCAGAGCATCGTGCTTTTGCTCTCGGAAATCCCTACGTAATTTAGACGAACTTCTGCGCATCTATACGCACAAAAGTGCATATGTAGCTCTGTGCTCTGTGTCCTATTGTATTTCTGCTTGTCTTATTTTCTGATCTGAGGTTCTGGCATTGTGAAATGTTTCGTTTGACAACACATCTTGTACAAGTACACCTGCCAACCTACAGGAAAAGTTGATATATTTGTAAAATTTAGTTGCAGTATCTAGCCGTTAACTAGATCGAAGTTAAAGAGCCAGTATTATTAAGTACAAATCGCACAGAAGCGTCCTTCCTTTGACGGGACAAAAAATAATTTTGGTAAAACCTCGAGGACGTGTTCCGTCTATAAGTCGTGTCAGACGTTACGTTGATCGCTGCGTCCCAATATCGCCGCTCATGAGGCGATTGATTCAACTCGCAAGTTATCGAAGTTTTGTATCGATGGATCAGTCATTTGATAAGTTCCTCCATCGTAGCAAGTTGAAGGAATATAAGGTACGGCTTTATCTCTCCGGCTTTCGTTATCTAGCCTACTAATATAGCGTTCTAAATCTGCATATAGGTTCCTGAGTCGTGCTGCATACGAAAAGAATGGATAGCGGATTGCCAAGCGAACCCTATGGAGAGCAGTACTTATATGGCTGTAAGTTGAATGATTTTTTTTGAGTATATCATTTATTGCGAACCGGGTACGGACGCTTGTAGCTGGGTCGGTTTAGTTTCTCGGACCGAAATACAGTTCACGTTATGTAATGTTTATCAACGTGATCATAGATATCTGCGACAGGACCGTACCGCTGAGAGAAGCAGAACTAGTGCTTTATTTGCTGCCTAGGTGGCGCGCCATTGTGCTCGACGATACGAAGGGATCACATTGACCAATTAAATACGGCTGGGCCATGAGGTTCTCGTCGTAATCGTTATAGCGCTTCTATATATTTGGCAACGCCTCTCCTCTATGTTACTGCAATAGCTTTGATTCTCACTGGTCACGATTCGTTCGAATCGGAAATAGTAAATGGTGTCCCATTTACTAGAGGTAAGCAACCATTCTGTTGCTTCCACAGAGATCTTTCTATGATTTGGAAAGTTCGTATTGCCGGTTAGGGGGGGGGGGGGGGAGGGGGCAAGCAGAGTTACCTATGCCAGCTTAGATGAATGCTACTGAATATGCGATACGTTCGTTACGGTAACTATCTCTGTATAAATAAATTTCCTCAAAGTCAATTAGCTAAACTGTAACAACATTATACACTCATGCAAGGAATTAAAGGTTTAATAACATATACTTTTATTTACAATTTATCGATTTGTACACCCTTTGGAGAGATCTCGAGTCCTTGTTAATTTCCTATATAACTTCTGTGTCAATGTATCGATACGACTTGCCTGAAGCTCTTGGAAGTTGACTCGTACCGTCATTTCGTTTTGTGGTTTTTCCCCGTCGCGTTTACTTTGTTCGAACTACGAACAGTCTGTCTACTCAACCGAGAGAATGGAATAAATTTTTGTCCCAGCCGGAGGCGTCTGGTTAATCTTTCAGTTTCAATAACATATATATATACACACATGCATAACATACACTCACAAACGAATTCACACATAAAAATGACACCAGTCTAACAATACATCAACATTACGAGCAGCATGGTAGAAGTAATAGCGTGGCAAAATGCATCACTTTCATTCATTATTCGCTCACATCGCAAGGTCTCCGTAACAGCTCGTAGCGAAAGCTACCCGTTGCAATCGCTACGAATGGCCCGGCCACGAAGTTTTTTTCGTCCCTCCTGCCAGAATTCTCAACTAGCTAGCTAAGCGTGAAAAGTAAATATCGTAGGGTGGAATCGCGGCTATAAGAGAATGTGTGGCCAACAGTAAAAAGTGCCAAAGGGAGGGATCTTCGGACGCCTAAACGAACAAAGGAGTACTGAACCACCGATATTTCGCAACGGGTCGTTCGCAAAACGACTAATGCCACCTCGTACTCGGCAAATGTCGCAGTCATTGTCGTGAGACGAGATGAAATCAGATTGGTTGCTCGATAGCATTGTCACAACTGGCACTCATGGAAAAAATGGTGCCGACAACAGTTGAGACGCGCGGCAAATTCAAAATGACGATTTGTTCTAATACACCGTTTCCACTGCTTAGATTCCCATCAGCCTCAGATATAGACCAGACCAGAAGCGTAAAACGTTTGCTATTTCAGGAAACACGCTGAGGCTTGCACCTCTTCAAAAACATGAAGGCTATTTTTTCCCATATTATACATTCGATTTGCAGTGCTTGTGTGTATTGACAACGAAAGAAAATAGTCCATTTAGTAGTAGCAAAATAGTAGCATTTTAAAGAATAGAAAACTCTACTATAGATACGCGTGATATCGGTATCCGTGAAGTATAGGGGAACGTAGTTCAGGGGGCTACAACTCGGCAGACAAATATATCCTTCCTATTCTTCACCCCCCGAAAGTAACGTTCGTCTGTCATCGCCAAAGCTGTAGCATATACATTGAGTTGATATCAGTATGGGTTTACGTTAAAAGTAATCTAAATAGTTTACTGAAAGCCATCAAAGATGAAGGAACCGTGCAATAGGACCTCGATGGGATTCACTATAAGGCCAGTATGTTGAAGCATTATTTATGCCTGTACGCAGAATAGAATGTGCTGGGCAGTCGCCCAGATAAACGGCTTCGTTCTTGGCCTATACATATTTGTGTTTGGTCGAGCCAAAAGAGGAAAAATTGTATAGAACAAAATGGGTCCAGAACAGCACCGCCCCCGAGCACCTCCCGGGCGTCATTCAATCATCGACCGGATTAGCATCTACGACTATTGTTGTTTGAGGTATCGAGCGCGGTTCACCGTCGCCATCAACAGCAGTACGAGCGTCGCATGAACGTCCGGTGAGAATATTCGATATATGTCAACCACCGCGCAAACTCTTGTTATAGTTGTTCCAACTATCACTGTCGCATGGGGCACCAGATCCCGCTGCGGCCACCATTATCTTTGCCGTGCGGCTCCTAAGCTAGCGACATCGTCAGGTCGACCAGAAGCGTAACAAACTGAGATAGGCATCGCTACATACGTGTTGATACAATGTATACAGACACAATAGGCTTAATAATTTTCGATCTATAACTATTTGATTGTCCGCATCTAATAGCGATTGGAATAAGATAGTCAACCAGGTCTGTGAAGGTGTAGGTCTGCCCATAGTCGTCCATACACCGTTCACAGAATCTGGATGAATGGAAGAGCATACGCGATTCTTCATCTAAAGGTAGACAACTGTGTTGTTTGGGTCGCAGCGTATTTGGTCCTACGCTATGGAAGATGAGACTGAAATCGTTCGAAAGTGGTTCCCTGTCAATCTTCGATTATAAGCTTAGAGCAGCACATCCAATCTGCTGATGCGAGCTCATGTACTAGCATTATGTTACGGATTACCCTTTACGAACAATTTGTAAGTAAGAAATAACTACATAGAACACCTTACAGCTTACCATTCTTGTCACCTATCGTTTCTAGGTTATTTGTGCTCATACTCACAGCCGAATCCAATTCCTGAATACTTTGTTCAATCGCGTGTGCCTGGATCGTTTGCCACGACAGCCCAGGTTTGGCAAAATGAATTTAATTGAAATTGAAATTTGTCGCTTGAACATACGTTTAAGAGGGTTGAAGATAGCGGCTCATTGCCATTGTCCGGCCAGAACTGTCCATTTTTCTAGTACTCACGATATATTCAAAATGAAAAAATGACGTAGACGCGGGGGTGGTAAGTGGGGAACTGATAACTAAGCACACAGCCATAATTGGCTCTTGGCTTTGGAAGGGTAAAAGCGTGAAAGCGTTACGTCGACGTCAGTAAGCGGTCCACCCTTGCGGCAAAAAGTATAAAATGTTTTATACGTTTTCTTTTCGACGAAAATAAAATGGTATTCATAGACAATGAATGGACGAGCAAACAAATAAATCATAAGGAAGTGAGTCAAAGAGCCGGGCTTAGCAGTCCTTCACGCCATGTAAAAATATCGGACTCGGTTTAAAATAAGCATGAAATTTATATGAAATCTACGTGTGCTAATGAGAAGCTGCCAGCTCTTTTGTTTAAGAAGCAAGAATTATCTAAATAATTATCAGTTATCTTGATTTAGTTATGAAGGAGCACCAAAACAAACATGGCGGACATTATTAATTCCTGTGGACTGACTATGACTTTTGTGTCACGTACTTGTATTGTAGAACGTTTGAAATCGTTTCGATGCAGTATATGTAGCTGAGGTTTTCGTTGTATCTGCTACAATCAATCCGATAAGAATAACATTTTACCCATGAGAAAACCTCTTAAGAAGCATCATAACAAATGTTACATTATTCTAAGTTACATTCGTTACAACTGCTGAAGATGATTTTTGTATAATTATAAGCACAAAATATATAATATGGCCTATTAAGGGGAGTGATCAACATGATTTTCTAATGTTTGTATCTTCTTAAAAAAACGACAAAAACGTCCATACGACGACCACTATAACAACTAAGGCATTGTCTAAAAATGTAAGATATCTACAAATATTTATCTTTCACTGTATACTAACATCTGCCTGAAATTCCTTGCTATCTGTCTTGTCCGATGGCCGGACAAGTGTTCTCTGCCGTCGCAAATATACGAACTACGGCCCCCTTCTTTCGATTGCTATATGTTTTATAAAGTATACGAAAGCGTCCACACGATACCGACGTGATTTAGGGGCTCAGCGTGACTGAAAATAGGATTTTACGGAAACGAATCCGAAACTACTGGAATACCGTGTACGTCGTAAAGTTTGTAGAAAACCGCAAGTCATTTCACTAGACTGTCGTTCGAAGCTGTGCTGCAAGAAGCGTACATCGTAGAGGCATGTGCTGTTGTCTTCGTAGAACTTTACCCTTGATCTTGTGATCGACTCATGCAAATTCTTGTTCCTACATGCCCCTTCAATTTACGTTTGTGGGGTAGTTTTTGTTTGATCTTTGTCAAGTGCTGATTGCATTAGATATAACTGCGATTTACGTGGCAAAAACCACCTACTGTCATTTCAGTAGATATTTTTCGTAGGCAAAAATCTCTAGTAATTGAGCGGTCTATTACTTTGTCTGATCTGTTGGAATTGATTTAGTTACTCAATTATATGATCCTGAGAAATAGTCACAGTGCTATAACGGTATTTTTGTCGTTAAATTTTGCTCTACGCTTTAGATGACACTACGAAGTAATGCTAATGCTTCCACTCAGTGGCTTCGTATTGAAAACTATACATTGAGCTTTAGCCAGAGAGTTTCAGACTATCTAAATAGCAACTAGTGCGATCTGAAGAAGTGTCCAGTTGAGCGGAGTCGAGGGCTTTCTTTCGGCCATAGCATCAGAGATGAACTAAAATTGCGGGACAAGCTCCTTGGGCTTGGGAAGAAATTCTAAACGATAAAAATGCGGATTTTAATCGTAAGGTCAGATGTGATTGATCCCGAAGGCATCTTCGCTATCTATCAAAACATTCTATTCTAGGGGTATTTAGCATTTTGCTTAGAAAATGTACCTTCAAAATATTCTACTTAGGACTGACTATAGCATTCCCGCTATTGTGAAATA